AATGTATTACCGGCACTTGAAACCTTAAATTTAAGTGAATAAATGAAGACTCGGCACACCGCTTCTGAAAGGTTGCCGACCCGTTCTACATGCTTGATATATATGAACTGGTCCATTCAGAGAGACTGAGCCTTTAAGCATTTAAGATCCCCATGAACAAACAATAAGATAGCCAATTCTCTACACTCAAGCGTAGAAAGACGTTACAAGCTGATTCCAAATCTAAAGTGTGAAACTGTATGTTGGCTGTGTACCAGTTAGAACCTGGGCCAAACTTTTCAAGGAAAAACTCAACATAGGCTTCCTTAACAGACAGAACTCTCAACACTCTCCCCTTATGATATCATTTCTATAAGGAAGGGAACAAACAAATATGGCAAAGCACCCTCTTGAAGATTACACAGAGGTATTTTGAAGATCTGCAGAACCAGGATGAAGTGCAGGAGTCCCACTGGAAGTCTCAACTATGCAATAGCTAAGGAAAAAAAAAGATGTGGGAAGAGTACAAAAAAAATCTTGAATAATAAACCAGAGGGTAGAAAAACTGAACCTTTAGATAAGAGGAAGTTACTGATCTGCAACTGAACATTCTTCGAGAGGTGTAGTCCCCATTTGTATTCCTCTGTGGGTTGCATGCATGCGCACTATACACCCAGAGCTGGAAAATTTGGAAGTAGTGTCAATTTGGGGTATGGAGGGACTCGTCCATCTTTTGGTTGAAGAGCTGCAATTCACCAAAGGGAAGGACCTCAACGGTATTCTGGGTCTCACTAGGGAACCCTGATGCATGGAGCCGTGATTCCCTGCACATAACAGCAGCAGTAGCCATAGCTCTAGAGGAGGTATCAGAGTTGTCAACTGCGGATTGGAGCGTGGTCTTGGTTATTACTTTGCCTTCATCCAGGGCCGGCTCTAGGCACCAGCAAAACAAGCTGGTGCTTGGGGCGGCACATTTCTAGGGGCGGCATTCTGGCGCCAGCCATGCCGCCCCTAAAAATGTGCCCCCGCTGCGAGAGGTTTGAGAGCCTGGGAGGGAGCGGGAGAGCCCGAGTGGCCGCAGCGCGCGCGCTGCTTCTCCCCCTTCCTCCCTCCCTCCCTCCTAGGCTTGAGAGCCTGGGGGGAGGAGGCAGGGCTGTGGATTTGGGGAAGGGGCGGAGTTAAGGCGGGGCCAGGGGTGGGGTAAGAAAAAAACGGTGGGGGGGGGGCGGCCAAAATTGTTTTTGCTTGGGGCGGCAAAAATCCTAGAGCCGGCCCTGCCTTCATCTATCAAAGCTTAGAAAGGAGCTCTGTCCTGTTGCAGATGCCTGTCAGTAATCTTTGCAAACTTGGCATAGTTCAGGAAGTCTTAATTGGCTACCCTAAACTGGAGGCTAAATGACAAAACTTTCTCCCCAACAGGTCCAGACATTTGCCCTCTTTATCCATAGGAATAGACTGGGGATGTTGCGGTCTAGCCCTTTCAAAAGTGGCCTGGACCAGCAGTAGAATTGGGAGCAGGGTGAGAAAATAAATTCTACTGGTGGGCCTGTGAGGCATTCTCCTTGCTGAATCAGGCACATGTAGAGGGAGGGTTCCCTGGCCTGGGTCTGATTGAGACTTCATGGCCTTCTCCATGAAATGTTTCCAGAGACAAAGTTCTCACTCTTCTCAGGTACAGCTGGAGAATGATCAGCAGATACTGCACCTCATCACTATGTGGGCTTCCCCAAGCCAGTACAGGCAGCACTGGTGGTCATCACTGACCAAGAAGGATCGTCAGCAAGAAACACAGAGTTTGAAGCTTGGAGTCCTGGGCATAGTTGGGTACCTGAACGTGATACAGGGAGATGGAGTGGAGGGTGTCTCCCAAAGAGACAATCCGAACACTCAACTGTAATAACTATATAAGCTGTTAAAACTATTTACAAAGCAAAAATCTAAACCTTATTTTGTAGGATGAAGACAAAGCTACTGACATTGGCAGTTCCAACCTGGACCATGCGGTGGTGAGAAGTAACTGGAGAAATGGTCAATTCACCCTACCCTTTATCCCCTCAGCCAGAAGTACGAGGAGAGCCAGGGCAAAGGCATGGACCAACAAACACTACTTTCAAATTCTCTTGCACTGGGCATACGCATAAACCCACAGTGGGATACAAAGGAACCATTACTCAGCGAAGAACTGAGGTTTAATCCCTTAGGCCACATAAGAAACTGAATCTGTGACAGACGTTTGGACAGACCTCAGTCTACGTACTAGGTGACTAAGACCCCCACCCCACAAATCCTTGTGTGCTCCAACTGTAGGAAATTTCTGGGATTTTGAAATAGGATGTTAATTAGTTAACAGGAGCATCCATGTAACACTCAAATGTTATGACTTTAAGGTGAATAAGGGGGTACTGATAAAAACTAGCTTTTGAAAAACTGGATGCTTCCTGGTTTTGCAGTTTCCATCTTTAAGAACCTAGTTAATAGTAGTATGTGAAGCCAATACACTGTAATTAGAATTACACACACTTTATCTAGTCTTATTTTTCAAGTTATTTCAGAGAATGTATATACCAGTACATACATAGAAAAAGTGAAGATGTCCATCTTCTATGTTCATGTATTCCATTAATTGAGAGCAAAATACCAGCCTGCCGTTTTAAGTTACAAATGAGTCTAGATGAGCGAGAAAGCCACAAAGAGACAAAAGATCAAACATGTCCTATTTTAGCTCGCCACTTCCCTGCTGGTAGTATTTGAAAATTAAGCCATTTGACCTTGACTCTTGTTTTGCCTGGCATCCATGTAAGCTGTGATGGAGAGGTTCTGTTTCTCCAAATATAAAGGATTCCAGTGGCCTTGTGCTTCAGATTATTGCTGTGTTTTTCCTTGGCAATTTATGTATGCCACCATCATCCAGCTGTTGTTCCTGGTTTGATACAAAAATGTTCCTGGGAATTTTGTGAAGCAGGGCTCAATAGCACTGCTGGTTGCTTCTGAGCAATATCAGATTTAAAACACATTTACCAATGATCATTCAGAAAGACAAACTGAAGGATTTAGGTGCTGCATTGCTCTTTGTATTTGTGTGTGCATAAAACCAGGACAAGTATGATACGCAAATGCTTGGAAACAGTTATTTGAGCATAAGATACAATAATTCTCCCGTCATTCTTTGAAGTGTTTTAAAAAGTCCTGGAACATTTTCTGTTCTGAATCTTATTTCTGCCACAGATACAGAAAGAACAAAGATGACAGGTTTCAGAGCGGTAGCCATGTTAGTCTGTATCAGCAAAAAGAACAAGGAGTACTCGTGGCACCTTAGAGACTAAGGAATGTATTTGGGCATAAGCTTTCGTGGGCTAAAACTGCAGTGGCTTTTAGCCCACGAAAGCTTATGCCCAAATAAATGTTAGTCTCTAAGGTGCCACAAGTATTCCTTGTTCTTTTTAGAAAGAACAAAGTGACAGAGGTGAAAGGTCTAAATTCCATAACCATTTCCTGAGTTATCCAAACCCCTACCATTATATCTAAATGAAACTCTTTCCAATGTGAGCTATTGTTTTTTGTTGGGGTTTTTTTTTGTTTGTTTGTTTTTTTTTAACAAGATGGCCCATCATGATCTCAGTGGCAACCTCATGAGACCTCACCACAATGTACAATTCAAGGGAGACCACTGCTACATTTTATAATCTATTAGAAATGTCAACTTTAATTACACACAGTGGAACTGTTTTTTCTTGCATTTGTTAATTTAGTGAAATACAGCTAATGTGACATGAAATCCTTCAAAGACCTTGCTGCTGCCACTTTGTATACACTGAGCTTTAAAATTATGTAGTTTTAGTCATCCTACATTACAGTATGTTTTGTAGTGTTACACAGCGACCTACTGTTTTGAAGTCGGAATTATTCCAAGCAGCAAGTCAACTCTAACAGTCAAGCACTTTTCTTTCAATAAGCACTAATCTCATTTTTTTTTTCCTCTCTCACACACAGCTCCAGGATATAAATTAGTTTAGCAATCTATGAATCAATCTGTAATTATTATCGGTGCTACTCATGTCAGGAAAAAGATTACTCTATGAGACGAAGAGTCTTACATTGAAAAGGCTTTTTCTGCAGGATAGGAAAACAAATTTCACATTTTCAAAAATATATAAACAGAAACCATTTTTTTGGACATCTGCTTTAATATTTTTTTCTTAGCATGAATACTTTTATGGATTAGATTATAATTCAAATACAATAATGAAATGTTAATCAGATCTGAACTACACTCTTCAGACTACATACTTCAAGTAATTTATTGATGAATTCACTTAAACTACACTATTCTGCCAGGGTAATTAAGCAGCAATACTAGGTATTTTTAGGTGAGCTATTTCTATGTACATATAGGATACCTTGGGTCAGGAATTCCCAAGCTGGACACCCATGGCCTTTGGGACTATATATAAAACACACACTCGAGTGCACTGGAGTGGATGTGACCTGCCCAGACTTTCAGTTCCGTTCTGAAGCACATTGATTCTATGTGAATTACAAAATAGAATTGCTGCAGTTCTTCACATTAATCCATGACTTATCATGAGTGGTTCTCAAACTTTCCTCTAGAGATATTTTAAAAAAAAAAAGTTAGAAATATTACTGGGATAAAATTAATATCCCATCCAACTCCACATCCTCTCCTCATCAAAAACCAGCCCCATTTCATAAAACTACAAGAGAACCATAAAATGTCTTGAATTAAAGGATTAAGTTTTAAATCAAATACTAATCTTATGTGAATATATCAGCTCTTTTGGTCATACATTTTGCTTTTGCAGTAGTGCTGAATGAAGAACATAGCTGCAACATGTCTAGGCAGATGTGTTTGATTTAAGAGTACCGAATACTGCACCACACTCTTGGTACTCAAGTACCAAGCAAGTACATAAGGTTATTGAAGGTACACAGGAAAGGCAAGTACAATATTGTAATTCAAACTCTGCAGCCAACACCACCACCACCTCTCTCTTTTTATCTACCTTATCTTTGTCCTCCACAACATCTGCCAGCACATCATCTGGGTCCAGGATCCCCCCATCTGTATACTCGAGGTGGTGAATGTTCACCCAGTAAGCAGGGTCCTGCGCAACAACAACAAAAACAAAGGCATTTTATCAAACCAAACTTCAGCTTTTTAGTTCTATCAAGCCAATACGATTTTTGTATTCCATTTTTACTTCTCTCTCCTTTGGTAAAGACGTTTACAAAATAGTCCATTTTAGACTATTTCTGGTGAAGAGTTCAAAGAAACATCTACTGATACAAACAGTGTGAATTTTTATGTCCGGTTACTACCAATGGAATAATGTCCAATATGATCTTAAGATGTATATTTGCATTGATTTACTGTACATTTTAATCCTTTACCAAAATGTAAATGAGGTTAGATAGATTTTACACATTACAAGAAAGAAATTTAAAGAAACCATGCTATTTCACTGTAAACCACTGTAATTTAAAGAAAATTTACTGTCTGAGAAGTTGGGGAAAAATTTATAGAGTTTTGCAAATCACACACTCATACCGTACCCCATCTCACCTACACCATCCACCAAGAATTTCCTGCTTATGAAAGTCGCTCCCCCAACAGAGACAACTGATAATGGGATTCATTGAGGCAAAACGCAGAAGACAATGTTTGTGAACGGGTAGGCTTACTCATGTAATTTGACATGGCACAACAGGAACCAAGTTTCAGTCCTCTGAAGACAGCACGCTCCCCCATCCCCAACTTTAACAGAACGCTACACGATGCTTCCCCTGAAGCCAATGGCACAATTATCAACTTCAGTGGAAGAAGATTTTGTTTCTAAATGAATTGCTTACTAGAGAATTTCAAGTGTCATTCCTGAGGTTAAGCACTGAACCAGAGTTAATCATCAATAATATTGGCAAACATACTGCTGGCTTGGATCTCCTCTCTGTAGCAGGCTAAAAAAAGGACAACCTGCTTAGTTAAATAAAAGAACTCAATAAAGAAAGCATATTGTGCCTTACAAATTAAAAACAAATTCAGAAAAAATTATGCCATTCTACCCTTAAGTTACCCTACTGAAATTGAATAAAGTAGTTAATAATTAAATCCACATCTTAGAAGATTGGGCAATTTTAAATCCATGGGGAAGTTAAAAGCAAAAGCACCTGCTTTAAGGGTGGAACCAGCACTAAGAGCTACCCTCTAACAATAAAGTGCTAAACAGCAAAATCACAGGCTGAGAGAGAAGCAGTCCAGCTAGGGCTTCCCTTGTACCTCTATAACCTCTTGGATGTTGGTAATATCAGACTGAGGCCTGATCTGCATTGAAAATGTTGAAATATTGTGGGGGGAAAGGCAAACACACCCAAGTGCCGTAGCAATACCAACCTAACTCCCAGTGTAGATGCAGATAGGTGGACGGAAGAATGCTTCTGTCGACATGGGTACCATAGCTCAGGGAGGTAGTATCCCTACACTGCAGTAAAACCCTCTTCTGTCAATGTAGACTGCATGTACACTACAGGATTATGCAAGCATAGCTACAGTGCTGTAACTATCCTGGTTTAGTTCCTGTAGTGTAGGCATGGCCTGACTTCCCGACTAGACTCACGTCATCAGCTGATTGCTCCAACTTCCTCCCACTCTCTCCCACACAGGACCTATGTGCCCAGCCTGACTCTTCTTGCCTTCCACATTCATCACCATTCTTCCCATCCTCTCTGCTGCTTTCATTTTCCCCTTCTCTTTTGCTCCTATTAATTCTTCCCCTCCAGCCTTCCCTCTCCACCCCATTTCCAAGACTCTTTAGAAGTCCCCCCGCCCCCACACACACACCCACACCACACAAAATAAATCACAAAACTGACATGAGGGGAAAAAAAACACACTGAACTAACCAGAGGTTTGTCAGCCACCATCCTGATTCTTCTGCAATGTAACCATTTCTCCCACCCCCTTGTCTCTGTCATGTCTATTTAGATTTTAACTTCTTTGAAGCAGGGAACATTTGCATAGGTTTGTATAATATCTAGCACAATGAAAACTCAATCTTGGTTGGGGTGCTCTTATGATACAGCCAAGAAGTGCTAAGTGCCTCAAAAAAAAAAAAAAAAAAATCAGAATGGGGGTGGGACATCAGTCCATTACATGCTACCACCTTGTCTGCGCACACACACACACACACACACACACACACACCCCTCCACAGAAACTCTGATAAAACCCACACATCTACTGGGAAGCCAGCCAATTCCACCCTGCCATAGGTAATGTTTAAACAAGTCATTTTTCCCTAGCAACCTTTATCTATCTTCCCTTTACCTACAAGTTGTAAACTGAACTAATTTTATACTGATAAAAGGAAGTTTATAAACCAGGAAAAAGGGTTTCCATAAGAGCACTTAAAGGGCAAGTTTACTTCCCATTATATAGTTTCAATAGCTAATTAACAGCATCTTACTACCACATGCTATTTTAATTGAAATTGAATATTTGGTACAGCTCTCAGAGAATTTTCACATATATTAATATCTGATTGCATGAGCAAAAATTCATTTCACCTTTTTCCCCGTGCTTAAACCTCATTGGATGGGTTGGATCACAGAAACCCCCTTGGTGCTGCCAACTGATGTGCCAAGACTACTTCTGCCCCTGCTTTCCCTGCCAGCTTGGGACTCCGCACCCTGTCTTGTTGAGCTGGACACGCCAGTCTGCTCCAGTACCGACCCAGGGTCTGAACCACATGCCCCAAAGCTGCAAACTTAACTGAAAGCAACTTAAGAAGTGTTCCTGACTTTAACACTCAGATGCTCAACTCCCAGTGGTGTCCAAACCCCAAATAAATCCGTTTTACCCTGTATAAGGCTTATACGTAAGTTGTTCACCCTCTATAACACTGATAGAGAGATATGCACAGCTGTTTACACCCCCCCCACACACACACACACACACAGGTATTAATACATACTCTGGGTTAATTAACAAGTAAAAAGTGATTTTATTAAATACAGGAAGTAGGATTTAAGTGGTTCCACGTAGTGACAGACGGAACAAAGTGAATTACCAAGCAAAATAAAATAAAACAGGCAAGTCTAAGCCTAGTACAGTAATAAAACTGAATACAGATAAAATCTCACCCTCAGAGATGTTTCAATAAGTTTCTTTCACAGACTGGACGCCTTCCTAGTCTGGGCACAATCCTTTCCCCTGGTACAGCCCTTGTTCCAGCTCAGGTGGTAGCTAGGGGATTTCCCATGATGGTCACTCCCTTTGTTCTGTTCCACCCACTTATATATCTTTTGCATAAGGTGGGAATCCTTTGTCCCTCTGGGTTCCCACCCCTCCTTCTCAATGGAAAAGCACCAGGTTAAAGATGGATTCCAGTTCAGGTGACAGGATCACATGTCACTGTAAGACCTCAAGCCTTCATTCCTCCCAGCCTGACTCACAGGAAGGCCTGCCTGCAAACAGAGCCATCCACAGTCAATTGTCCTGGTTGATGGGAGCCATCAAGATTCCAAACCACCATTAATGGCCCACACTTTGCATAATTACAATAGGCCCTCAGAATTATATTGCACATTTCTAGTTTCAGATACAAGAGTGATACATTTATACAAATAGGATGACCACACTCAGTAGATTATAAGCTTTGTAATGATACCTTACACGAGACCTTTTGCATGAAGCATATTTTAATTACATTATATTCACACTCATGAGCATACTTTCATAAAATCATATAGAGTGCAACGTCACACCTCAATCTATATGTTTTTAAATTATACACATTACAATTTTCACGTATATTTGGCCCAATCTTAGTTCCAGGATCGTGCAGTCACTCTCCCATCTTCAGTTGCAGGGTAATATTATACAAGACATTAGCATGCACTACTGTCAAGGTATCCTCTCTCTCAGTCCAGAGAGTCCCACATGTTGACCACTAGCCATATACTCAATATTGTGTGTCTTGTTCTTCCTTGATTCGGTGTTTGTAAGGTGCAGTGTGGCTTAACAAGCGTACAATTCAATAAAAGTATCTTTATTTGAAATACTCCTGTATATTCTGGGAATTTGGCAGCGTTTTCACCCTCCAATGTTGCATTGAAACCACCCACCAAAATTGTTCATCTTAAATATCAAAAGGCTTGAATGACAAAAATCTACTAAAAAATATGCAAAGATAAAACCAGTATTTATAATGATGAAATTCAGTCTATTAATTACCTTAATCTGAATTTCAGACCACTATTACACCTCAAAACATTACTTTTTAAAGCCAAGAGTTCAACTGTTTTGAGCATTTTCAATGTGCCTACCAAATTCTAAGATTTAAAAAAAATTAAAAAAATTAAAAAAAAAAATCAAAGAAATGTATCTATAATAGACAAACGTGATCTCATGAACAAAACAATTTGTTTAATGCAGAAACCTTGTAAAAAGAATAACTTGACCCTTATAATAAACTTATAAAATATGACTCAAACTGCATCATTAGCAATAGATGCTTATCCCCTACCTTTCAATGGTCATATAAATGTATTCACAGTTCGTAAAACTGGGACCTTTGATTTAAATATTACACTTGCAAATTACAAATTTCTGTGGGGTAGTGTGTTTATATCAAACTATATTAAAACAAGTTATAAATTTTATGCTATTTCGTAAGTCTGCTGTACAAGGCTTTAAGATGCTTTTAAAGAAAAAAAACAGCTGGTGAAAATATTTTTGTTTTCCACGGTTTATGTCTACTTGACATTTTATAGCTTCTATAATCCAAGATGACAATGTTTTAGGAAGAAAAGCTGTGTGGTCCTAAAGAATGCAACATGCTGCCCAAAATACAAGACCAAAAAGCTCAACAACTAAAAGCCACCCCCACATGCGATAATAAAGTCTTAACTTTTCTGTAACCTGGGACCACAAAAAGAATCCAGCAACAGAATGCTTGTGTGGGTGGGCATAAGTAAGAGAAAACAAATTCCTGCGTGAGTCTGAAGCAGCAGAGTTTAACTTTCCCCACAAGCATCCTAAGACAAACACTGCCAATATAAAATTTAGCTTCTCATTCTCATAAATAAGATAAAAAAAACAAGACATCCA